AAGGAGAAGCTGGGGGAACGGGCAGCCGCGGGGAGATACTGGTGTTGGAGAGAAGAATTGAAAGAAACTAGTGGGTGGCGAGAGGCAGGAACGGAGGCGCTCCGCTGAGAGAGGAGTGAAAGCAGGAAAGCAAAGACAAACTACAAGAAGAAACAAAGTAATAAAGAAAAGGGGAAGAGAGGAGATAAAGTGATTCCTCCGAGAAAGAAGGCGGCGAAGGAGAGGGAATTCGGAAGGACTCCACTGATGAGAGAGAGGAGTTGAAAGACACCCCCCTCGAGAGACACCAGAGACTGACTCTAAAACTCTCTCTCTCTCTTTGTCACACCACAAGGATTTGATGCCCCTCAGCCTGTTCACTTCTGTGTGTTCATGTTTCCCACAGGTTTCTCTTCCCCCAACCCCCCAGCTGCAGCCCAGGAGGTCAGACCTGCCACTGATGGTAACACCAGCAGCAGCTCCTCCTGCAAGAAGAGAAAGTTAAATAACAGCAGCAACAGCAATTCTGAAAGAGAAGAATTTGATTCCATTTCTTCCTGCGCCTCTTCTCCTTCCAAAAACACCTCCTCATCATCTTCCTCTGTCATCACCACCTCCTCGTGCTCCTCCTCAGGGGTTGCCTCCTCTAACCATCACCTCCAGAAGAAGCTACGCTTTGAGGACTCCGTGGATTTTATTGGACTCGATGTGAAGATGGCTGAAGAGTCTTCTTCCTCCTCTCCTGCTGCCTCTTCTCAACAGCAGCACCAACAACAGCTCAAAAATAAAAGCCTTTTAATTTCGTCAGTGGCTGTGGGGCACCATGCAAACGGCCTGACCAAAGCTGCCTCCTCTACTGTTTCCAGTTTCGCCAACAGTAAACCTGGCTCCGCTAAGAAATTAGTGATCAAGAACTTTAAAGGTAACAGGCCATAAATTGTCACAACCTATGGGGAGCTGACACTCGACTTTGTGTTTTGTTTTCAACATGAAAACCGGTTGGCTTTCAAATAGCTCCAGGTTTTACAGGAAATGCTTTTCTGTGGTAGATGTTCCTGTACTTATGTAAAGGGGGAGCAGTGTTTTATGGTGCATACTTGCCCAGTCATGTACACATCCTGAGCTACACTTCGCTGCTTGGGGTTATTTTTCAGACGCCTTTCACTCTTGTCTCGCAGGAAGGCCCTAACTTGTGTGTTAGACGAAAGGTTTTGCTACATAACTGTAAATAGCCTTTCTTCAGACTTTTAATGTTTGATATCTCTTTTCTAATAATCCTGATTCAGGGCTTAGTATATATTTTGGCCCAGTTTATGTTAAGTCATTGCGCAGAATGCATGCTTTTTTAGTTTGGGCCTGAATCTGTATGTCTTGCCTCTATCCATGTCATCTGTTTATAGGTTAATCTGCCTGTGCTTAGTTTTAAATGTTGGAGCTAAGGTGATTATCAGGCTATTATGGCGGATTTCCTTTCTGGTTTCCCCACCTGCCTTTAAAATAGGTAGTTCAGATTTTTGCTGAGTGTGTTGCTTGGAATAGCCTTGCTGTAATTTTCGTTATTTAACTCTTTAATGTCTCTTTTTCTGTCTTGACATACTGTCACTTTACAAGCTTATATTATCTTATAAATTCTCTCAGAAGATGTTTGATATTCTTGAGTATTGTTACTAGAGACCAACTGAAGCAGAGAAATGAAACTTTTCTGCTGTGATGCTGCTTCATTTTCTAGTAAACAAATACAGACAGGTGTAGGCAGAAAGGTTATCTAAAATTATGTCATTTTTTTTCCCTGTAAAGATGGGAAAGTCATGGGCTTTTCTTATTTCCTGCCTCTTGGTATCTTCTAAAGCAGTGTGACAACTTGCTTTCTTGGGTGATTTTTCTTTTTCCCCATGTGTTTGGGGTTGGGGAAGATATTAGTGACATTATAATTAATTTCTAAATACACAGTTGAATCAAGTGATCTGTAGAGGTGTCACAGAAGGTAAGGATTAGGATGATTTTAGCCACTAATGTTTTACAGCAATTCGTGATCACAGTGTAACTTCTTGCTTTAAGGCCCTCTAATTCTCAAAAATGTTCTCCACTCATCATGTCATCATAATTAAATTTGACTGATTATTTTAAAATTTATACTTATGATGCATGATAGTGAGAAATAAATGCCACTCCTCTGTTGCTTGTACACTGTTATCTTTAAGGGAAGTCAACTTTTCGTGTTTAAAATATTTGTTAAATGTCATGGATTGCATGGTGCTGCAATCATCGTTGCTTAAGAATTGGTATTCAAGTCACTTGCTTAAAAAGGATGTCTTAAGGATCTTTTGGCTTGCTTTTTTTTTTTTTCCTGCTGTTGGATGCTGAACAGGATAATAATCATAAGATTATTTGTTTTATCTCAGTGTGATAGCAATAACATGCTTTACAACTTAAATAACTTCCTAAAATCCAGAATCTTGGTATTTACTGCTGCGTAGCGTACTCATTAGTTGCTAGTGAAAATAGGTAAATCTCACTCGTAGTTAGTTGTCTCTCTAGATTCTTACGATCCAGCTGATGTTGGGATGTTGCCAGTACTGTAGGGGAATGCTTGGGAGGACAAAAAAAATTACTTCTCTCTGCTTCTTATTTCTAGAGAAATCATAAAACTTAACAATCTGGGTTTTACCTTTAGGTATGTAAAAGTCGGTTTTAATAGAGTATAAACTGGGCCAATTTCACCCGTTGGTGGCACGGATGCACATGTGTCTTCCTAAATTTTCTCCTCCTTCCTTCTCTATTTGGAAACGTGCATATTAGAACAAAACCGGTCATTTTAGCTAGTTATGAGAACACACAGAACTTTAAAAGTCCTCGTATTCTGCGGATGTGACATGGGGAATCTCTCTTAGCCTGCTGTAAATGCTTTAATCTTGTTGAAGATGCTGCATACATAGCAGGGGCACCTCTGGAAAAGAGGCTGAAAAAAATAATGGAAAGAGTCAAATTGCAAAGCTTGAGAGATTTGAACATTAAAAGAGGGCTTAACACCACCAAATATCCACTGGCCAAACCCAAGAGAGACATAAATGGGTTACTTTAAAATAGGAAGTTTTTCCTCGTGACCATAAAGCCTGCATTGTAATTACAGTATTTCTGTGCATGCTTCTTGAGACTTTCTTTCCAACTGTTAATACAGAGGAGAATTCATGAGCAGTAAATTAAAAAAATAAGCTATACACAACTCTGCATCTTTTAATCCATCATTTTGGGCTTTCTTTTAGCCGTGCTTTCCTGGTAGTGGAAAGGAGTGTAAAGATGGAGATCATTCTTGCTGGTTTTTAGCCTATATCCCTTCTTGAGCTGCTCAGACAGTGTTGTGATTTTTGTAAATCACACATACTGTGTGGGCCACAGATGCTGTGATGTGTATGTGAACAGTAATGCTGGGTTTTTACAATGCCTTACTATTTCAAATGTAAATAAGATGCTGCTTTTACACGAATGCTTTCTTTTCAAGTAAGTACAAATTAAAATCTAGAGCATCAGCCCGTGCCTCTTTCTTCTCAAAGCTGCATTTTTCATTTCTGTAAAAAGGTAAAATGTTCTGCTTTTTCTAAGTACTTCCTCAAACTCCATCTAATTTCTTTTGAAGATAAACCCAAGTTGCCTGAAAACTACACAGATGAAACCTGGCAAAAGCTGAAAGAAGCTGTAGAAGCTATCCAGAACAGTACTTCAATTAAGTACAACTTAGAGGAGCTCTATCAGGTAAGTGCTTTAGGTAAAAGCGACGGGGTAGGACTTTTTATGGTGGTGTTGGATTATTTTCCTTAAAACACTTTTGATAGAGTTGTAAGAATATGACATTTTGCTTGATAGCTGCTTTTCCTCCAATAGTTTCTCAAATTTTAAAAATAATCAGTAAAAATTTCACAAGACATTGAACTCGGAATTATTTTTTTTTTATTTGCCACAACATAATCCAAGGTATGGTTTCCCTTGCAACAGTTGACAAGAATTAAATAAGGCAAGGAGCTGTATTCCCTTTACTGTTTTGGGGTTTATGGTGTGTAGCTGCTAAAGGAGAAATGTGATATCCTAAAACGTTGGTGTTTAGGTAAGAAAAAGACGATTTATATTAAAATATAATCCTTTTTCTGAAGACAGTATCTGTTCGTGATTGCGGATCATAAATCATTTAAAAACTGAAACTTTTTATTTGACTTCTTAAACAGAATTGTATTATTATGGTTTGATTGTCATTTTTTATCAGTCAGCATTCTGTCTAACAACTGCGCCTCAACATTTATTCCCTGCAAGAGCTCTGATTGTTTTGCCCTAAATGTTGCAGGAAGTAATCAGACTCGAACTGCATTTCCAAACTCTTTTTTATAAGCTCCACTTCTGCTTTTTTCAGCTGACTGTGTTAGGGAGACTTCTCCCCCTCCTCACCTTTTCCCTACTGACATCATGCTACTTGTGGTTTTAGCGGCCTAGCAACAGTACTGCTTTAGCCCGGTATTAAGCAGCACACTTTCCACTCTACGTTAAAGCCTTTGTCACTTGGTTAGCTGTTTGATTTGTTCCTCTGTGTGTATGTAGCCTTCTCTCCAGCTGGTTTTAGTGTCTCTTCTTCCCCTGCTCTCTGCTTTGGATGTGACTGATGTCTGTGAAAAGTTGGGGAGAAAAACCCTACTTGCACAAGGTTTGGGGACAGATTTAGGGAAGGATAAATTGCCATTCCTCATGGAACCAAGAGCCTCCTGGGCAGTGTTCCTCAGTCCAGTGTGTCTAAACTCATTGTAATCTTCTATGATGTTCAATTGATATAAAAATAGCTTTTTTTAACAGTTTGGCAGGATAATACATAGAATTGTTAAAGTAACAATACAATATAGTATTGTTACTTTTATTACAAACCAATACAGTAGTAAGATAACTTTTGCAAAGTTTGGTGAAACTAATAACAAATTACGATCCACTGTATTGGCTGGTGTTGTAGATTACTTACTCTAGACTGAACAACAGAGCAAGTGACTTAATTAAATACTTGAAGGATATCCAAAATGGCTTAAAAATACAAAGTTCTATTGAAAGCCTTGCTTCTGCTTCACACTTACCACTTAAATTTCTGCTCGCTTTTACCACAGGCTTAATTTCATGTTGCTTGTGCTCAGAAAACAAAAAATACGCTTTTTTTTCTTTTAAATCTCAATTTTAACATTGTA